TGATCCTGACTTTAGTCAGATTCAGATCTCACTAAAAGCTCTTTGATCGTGCCTAGACGATCAGAAATGATACATTTCACTCAAAAGAGATACATTGTATTCTTTCAGTGAAATGTATCTAAACATCGGGCTCTCCAGCTGTCAAAACAAATAGCAGAGAGGTGAGGTGAGTCACTGCTGCCTCTCTGCTATTTTGAGCTGTCAAATACGGGATCGCAAATTGCGGTCCTCTATTTGCATGTAACGGCTTCATTCTTTCATTACTGAAAGGAAGAAGCTTTTACAAAAAGCTTAATTATTTCATTAATTAATGCCTCAATACTGAGACATTAATGAATGACTGTTAAATGCTGAGAATCAGCAAATACCGGCATTACAAAGCCTGATATAACTCGTCACCCGTCACGAAGGGGTTAAAACTAGGTTTTGCGTACGAGCGGTCATGTAATTGACACCTGCCAACGGCCATCTTGGTGATGGATGCCGGCAGAGAGAGGAGGGGACGTTCACCCAGCGGGATAAAGTATGGCACCGGGTCCCCTCCTCTCTCCTGACACTGTCAGGCTCTCGGTCCATGACCGAGTGCCCGACTTTTTAGAGGGGGTGACACCAAAATGACTGCAATGGTGCCACTCGGGTGCGAGCCGCACCCCCCTTGTGACGCCACTGCCTTTGCTAAGATCCTGTCCTGTATAGAGAATCTGGTGACTTACCTCTTAGCGCTCCTTCTGTTAAAGCCTATTATCACTATGTGCTGATCCCATTGACTGAGAAGATGTTCTTCTACACTTAAGTGAACTTATCAGCCATTTATCAGCAAACTATCCGCTATGGCGAAGGCACCATGAAGTATCTGCTGTTACCAGAGAAGGCTGTTTTGTACATGCCTGGCTTACTGACATTCCCCCTGCCCAAAAAGAGTAGTTCCGTCTCCGCTAAGCGTGCTGTCACTGGATAAAGAAGTGGTGGGTCGGTGGGATTTAGCTCTGCAGGCCATGAAACCAAGACCTTAGGCAAGGCTTCTAGTTTTTAGAGTGATCCTGTGCTTTTCCCCATGTAGGTCCACTTTAGCCCCAATCAGGGTAAAGTCCATGAACCCAACGTACTCGAAACCGCTGTTCCAGAAATAATGAGGGGGGGTGCTGCGGCTGTCGACGGTTGGCAATCGTGGTCAATATCAAACGAAATATATAGACACTCCAATGGCAAGTCAAATATGTCTGTTTATTGACGTATGAGCAGCATAATGGGATATACTCAATGCAACGTTTCCGGGTCTCGCAGGATCCCCTTCATGGACCCTTCAGGACTTCGCAGAACAAGTTGTTCTGCGAGTCCCCAAAACGTCGCATTGAGTGTATCACATCAGGGGCGTCCCAAGGCCGGGTGACACCCCGCCGTGACTTAATCGAGCATGCGCGTGACATCACCACAAGCGTGTGCACGATGACATCATTGCGCATGCCTGGTCATCTAATTGACGCCTGTCGGCGGCCATCTTGGTTATAGATGCTGGCAGAGAGAGGAGTATTTAGACGTATTTCACTTGCTATTGGAGTGCCGGTGTCGATATATTTTGTTTCACTTTAGCACCAGCCTCCACAACTGCCGATACTTACCTTACCTTTGTAAGAAATAGCTACAAAGTAGTAATATGTTATACAGCGCACATCTGGGCAAACACCACTGAAATATCCAAATTTCCTTTAGACAACTATCCGGTGACTGTATTACTCTGTGTTCTGTCTGGATCACCTTGTACTATAAGAAACGCTTAGCAATGCATTTACTGCAGCTGCAGGCTTTTTATCCCCAGACACTGATAATCAGCACAGTCGCCTTCACTTACAGACCCACTATAGGGAAAAGTATTGTATTCTGGTAACTGTATATAGGTATCAACTGTAATGATAGCTGCGTATGGAACCGTATATTTGCATAGCGTAAATATGCGCAAAAACAGAAAGGAACCGAGATGTGTCCGGGCAGTGTATTTCTGCGTATTTACGCACATATACGCATGTTTACGCACATATATGCACATACGTGCGTACAGTTCATTTTGCAATGATGCATTTTGGGATTGCATATAGTGCACGCATATACGCTCATATATATATGCGCACATGTACGCGTATATACGCGCGCATGTACGCGTATATACGCAATATACAATTTTGCTCTTGCGTTGTGTGTGAATGAGGCCTTACTCCCCTCTCCCCTTCACATGAAAAACATTAGGCGCCCCCCTTCGCATTAGAGTCCTCAACCACCCTTTAACATCAGGAGCCTCTTTTTCACGTTAAAAGTACCCTCTTTACAGCAGGACCCCCCTTTACGTCAGGAGCCCCCCTTTAGATCAGAGTCCCCCCACTCAGCTCAGGAGCCCCCCTTCACATCAGAGTCCCCCTAATGATCTCAGGAGCCCCCTTCACATCAGAGTCCCCCTACTGATCTCAGGAGCCCCCCTTTACATCAGAGTCCCCCTACTGATCTCAGGAGCCCCCCTTTACATCAGAGACCCCCTACTCAGCTCAGGAGCCCCCCTTTTACATCAGGTCCTACCTCACAATCCTCTGCTATGGCAGAGGGCAGGAAGCAGCACAGGCCTGGATGGAAGTGAACTTCCATCCTCTGCGTCCCCTGGTTAGCGATATACCTTTCTATAGTGCTGGCTGCCTGCCTGCCTGCAACCCTGAAGATGCATGACGCTCCCTGATGAAGCCAGAAGTCACCCTGGTGGAGAAAGGCTGCTCCTAATGTTCTAAAGAAAATGAACTGTAAGACTTTGCACACCTTTCAGTTTGATGCACCTGGAAGATATTTTGCTGATTTAAACTGAAAGTTCATTTGGGCTTTAATTGTTAACTAAAAGATTACCTGATGATCCTGCCATGAAGGTTCTTGTTCAGGCACTTCCTGTTATAAGGAGACAACACTCTGTCCCCATTTCCCAGTTGGGCTACTGCGTTGTCACATGGGCTTTTGATGGGTTCTAAAGGTGGAAGTTTAAGCACACTTTACACAGGTATGATCCATTGTTCTCACCACTGGTAAATCCACCCTGAGAAATACAATGCAGCCATTGCTGGAGTGCATATAGATGGGAAGCCAGGTTAAATAAAAAGTTGAAAATTAAGTATTTTTTTTTTTTTAAATGGCAGTTGTTTATGATATCCAATGCTATAGTAAACTAAGTGCTTTACTGATGAAAGTTCCGCCTGAAGTATAGCTGGGCTGATGTCGTTGACACAGCACTAGTGCCCCTAGATGACGCTGACAGGTATAGGAAACTCTGATACTCATCAACACCATCTAGGGCCTTGGTTCTCAACTGGTGGGTCGTGACTCTGTGTTCAGTGGGTCACCGCATGCCTTCCACTTTCCTAGGTAAGAGGCTTCTCAGCCTCCCCCTAGCACAGCATTGTTGGTTCTCACGCCAAGCTGCTCGGTGCCGAGTGTCAGCTGGTGCTATGGCAGCGAGGGAGCTCCATCCATATGTGCATTGCTTATAGCTCCCTCACATGCCCTGTAGAGGTGCCTGGACCGGAGTGACGTCACATTCTGGTTCCCGACACCTCTACAGGGTGTGCGAGGGAGCTGTACAAGCAATGCACATATGGATGGAGCTCAGTCACAGCACAGCAGCCCACACTGGACCCCAGGCTGAGGATCCACTCCAGTTCTTGTAAGGTGGGGAGACTGGGTGGAGCTAAAAAAAAAAACATTTTTGGAGTGTATATGAGTGTGTGAGATTGTGTCTGTGGTTGTGTGTGAGATTGTGTCTGTGTGTGAGATTGTGTCTGTGATTGTGTGCATCTGTCAGTGTTTTTGAGGGCCCGCTCACACTAGTACAATGCGTTAATCGAACAGTCTTTGCGTTGCCATTCATTTGAATGCCACCCCAAACGCACCTCCTACCCACAGTTCAATCGCCCGCACCGGATCACATTTGGGTTGCAACTTAATGACCAAGGACAAATGTGGGTCCTGAGGTTACACAGGTTGAGAACCACTGCTCTAGGGGCACTATTGCCGTGTGAATGACACCCACCTAGCTATATTCCGGGTGGAACATTTATAAATGAAGCCCTTGTTTACATCTACTTTTACTTACAGGAAATGTGAGATGTGTACACCGTTTCAGCTGCCTATGTGTCTGGATCTTTTGATTGTTTTAAAATGGATTTTTTTCATTGAAGATCACATCTTATGTATTTTTGTCCTGATAACTGTCCAGGTTTGTGATGGTTTTACTTTAAGACCTCATTCACACGAGTAACAGCCGCCCCGTACAGCTCCATGCTGCATGCACGGCCGTATCGGGCAGCTCCCAGGAAGGACAGGTGGTGTGTGTGATTAGTACGCAGCCCCTGTCCTTCTCTATGGGAGTACGCAGCCATACGCCACCCTACGCTCACCCGACCTGCAGGTCCGTAAAGGTGCGGGTGTCCGTACTCGTACGCTGATAGGATGGATCCTGTCTGCGTCCGAGCAGGGACACCCGCACCCGTACAGACGTGCAGCTTGGGTGAGCGTAGGGCGGAGTACGGCTGCATACTCCCATAGAGAAGGACAGGGGCTGCGTACTAATCACACACAGCACCTGTCCTTCCCGGGAGCTGCCCGATACGGCCGTGCACGCAGCATGCAGCTGCACGGGCCGCCTGTTACTCGTGTGAATGAGGTCTTAACACAATCAACAAATGGAGAAAAGCATACTGCCAAAACATTCTTACACCACATTGTTTTATTCCGCACATCATTCGCTGTGCTCAGCCGCAGCAAGCCCATATCTTAAGTTTTGTTCTAAGTGAGATTTGCTTTCCACACACACACACAGGCCTGTTGACATTTCCTGACGGCTCCCATGGGATCCCAAGAAACGAAGGTATCTTTGAGAATAACAAACTGGTGAAGAGAGAGAAATGTCAAGCGGTGATCCAGAGGGCCGTAAGTGCCTCCAAAGCTTCCTGCTGCCTGGCGGTCAACCAAGTCTGACGGGACCATGTCAATCCCACAAGACAGCCGTGTCTCTTGTCACATCCTACAAGTGCACTCACTTTTTCTTTTGTATTCTTTTGCGTGTTTACACTGCTTGCTGGTAAAAGCAGACAAAGTGTGACTTCTGTTTTCAGTAGCTCTTCCTCTTCTTCCATGATTTATAGCTCAAGACACATATGTAGAGAGTCCGAGCAGGAGACAAGGTCTTCTGTTGTTGTGTTGCTGCTGACACCTTCAAGTTCAGTAGAACTTATTACAGTGCCTCCCTAGAAAGAGACCATGTCTGCTCCAACACTCTGGAATGAATAGAAGTCAGGAAGTATAATGAGATAGACCCTACTCAAATTCTCATATAACAGGGACAATTCAGTAAAACATTTGAGACACTTTTCTGGCGTTATGGCCGTATTGGCCAGATTCATGAAAGCCGTTTCTTACTGTTTCAGGTAGTTCTTATGTGCGACGCTATCCTGGTGCTATGGCTGTGGCAGATTCATTAAAGTGACACTACACTCAGGAGTTAAACTTACAAATACATTCAGGTACCTTAACTATTAACAAAAATGTATCTTATTTGTGTATCACTCGGCTGTACATCCTCAAATCATCTCTGAATTGGTGCCGACACTGTCCTTCCTTCTGGAGGGGGGCTACTTGTGTTCCCCATGGTCCCTGTGCGTGTTGTAAAGTAGTCACCGCTCCAAGCTCACTCCCATGATGGACTACAATCTCATGTTTAGTTAACTAGTTTGTACAGCCGAGTGATACACAAATAAGATACATTTTTGTTCATAGTTAAGGTACCTGAATGCCATTTTAAGATTTAACTCCTGAGTTTAGTGTCATTTTAAGAAATCCCACCATATCGGTGATAAGGAAAGTGGAGGTAAAAATAGCTTCTTCCCTGTTGGAGTAAATGGCATTGCATGTGTACTATATGAAGAGATTCGTATACACCTTCTAACAGTAACATGGATCTGTCACACGTGGAGCCATTCGTTGCACAGATGGGAGATAGATTTCTAATGAGTGTCTACGACGCTCTGCGTGATTTCCAGGGAATATGTTTTTGAATTTGTTTTTCTGTTTTATTTCGCCAATTGTGAAGAGAAGATTGTAAAAAGCATTTCTGTACAATGCTAATACCTAACCCATAGCAGACAGGGACTCATATTCATGAGAAACATGCGTGTTTATCATAGAGGTGGTCCAGGTGATAAAAGGGAAAACAGTTCACGTTTTCTGCAACGTTCTACAGGAAACAATAAACCGTTCACAGGAGCTTACATTCTAATATTCATATTACAGTTATATACGCTCTCACACGGTAGGGTTGGCTTGGAATGAAGCCATTTAGCCTATCGGTATGTTTTTTGTAATGTGGGACAAAATTCTCACAAACACAAGGAAAACATATATACTTCACGCAGATAGTGGCCTTTTGTGGGAATCAACTCTGAATAACAGGTACTATCCATTTAGCTACCATGTTTCTTATGCGGCCTAGAGGTTATGTTGTGGCAATCGGTACATGCCTTTTAGTTTTAGACACTAAGGGGTCTATTTATGAACCATTCACGCAGCGGACAGCTCTGCGAACGAGATTCAAAGCACATTAGGGATACTATACTAGATGGACGCGAGGAGCATAGGAAATCCCTATGCTCCTTGGCTCCATTTAGTGTTCTATTTTCTGAATGCTACATTCGACCTGAAAAGATAATATACAAGAACGTTTGTCTTTGCTTCTATTTGCACAGAACGAACGCTCTCAGAGATTAGAGGGGTAATTGGCTCTGTGAATTGTTTATAAATTAGCCCCTACGTCTGCTTTCTGCTATAATGGAGCTCTAAACAGGGTGATTTCTATGTTGCGTGCAAAGAGCTGCAAACTTTCTATAGACCCAACTTTATCTATGTAAACAGTGAAAAGTTGATATACTCCTTTATTATTAGTCTGCTTGCACTCCTGGTGAGGTCGATGTCAGCAGAATATAACGCACGAGTTAGCCAATAGTAGAGGCTCACATACTATACATGTAGAAATGATATGAAGCTATTTCACTATAATGTCATATATGTTAGACGGTCTGAATGTATCTGTCACCATTGATCACAACTATTGTCCGTATCGTCATTCACCGATACCATGTGACTCATATATATATATATGGATTTATGGATTTTGTGCATTTGTGGATTTTATAGGACAGTTTCACTGTACAGGAAAAGTTTACATTTTACGAGCTTGCACTTTCAGAATTCAGCTTTCATGGAACGACATTCCCATGTATATATAGAATGTTATTTAAGGCATGTTTGCCACTTTGAAAATACGCTGGATATCAACAAAATTTGGTGCAAGCTATAACTTTTTTTTTCATTTATTTGCTGAAAAAATGATGAATTCAGAGCATGGAGGAGCTGACCTGGCTCTCACCTGAGCCTCTGGCTTGGGGGGGTCCCGTTTAGGACAACCTTCCTGCATGCTTTGATTCTCCATCAGTCTTTCTTCTGGCTTGCTTTATATCTCCTTGTATAACCATCTACTCCCTCTGATCAGTCTAAGGCCTGGTTCACACCTGAACGTTTTGTAGCGCGTTCAACGCTCGACGAACGCTCTACAAAACGCTCAAACATCTAAATCCCATTGTATTCAATGGGTCTGGTTCACACCTTGCCGTATTTCCTTCCGTCCGAACGTGATACAAAACGGCCTATGCCCAAAGAAGTACATGTACTTCTTTGGGGCGTTTTGGTCTCGCGTTTCCATTGGGATACAGTCAAGTAGCCCACGGAACCGCGCGTTTGTCGCGCGTTTTTTTTAACCGTGAATCGCGGTAAAAACGCGCGACGCGAACTGCGCGACAAACGCGCATTTTCAATACGCCTAGGTGTGAACCCAGCCTTAAAGAGAGTCTGTCACATTGACTACTAAAGGCAAAGTGACAGCATATATTAAAGCCTTTCCACCCAAGGATACTGTAGGAGCCGTGGGTCTCATGCCTTTGTAATTACCTTTTCTCCTTCCCCACATGACAGTGTTTGGGCCCAGTGATTGTCCACTTAGGACCAAGCACTGCAACCTGGGAAGAAGGTCACAATCGCTGACCAGTGCTGGTCTATGGCGTGCAGTGGAGTAAGCCATAACTGAGTGCAGGTCAGAGATTGGTCCAAGTCTGGACCATGGACCAGACAGGGACAGACACTGGGCTTGATTCGGCCCGTTGGCAGTCTGCTATAGGCCATGCACTCAGGTGAGTGTTTGTTTCTTTGGCAGTTGCTTTTTGGCAAATAAACTATTATTAAAAAATGGTATAACTTGCATCAAACTTAACACGGAATAAAATATTAAAGAAAAGGGAAAGATTTTCAGTCTAACTGTGTTTATTATCTGAATGTTTCGGAAAACAAGGGTTGGATGTAACCTAGGCTACAATGATAATGACCACACTGTCTGCGTCAATGCTATCCATATACATAGTATTATTATGTCCTGAGGATAGTAAAGTCCTGACAATGTTCTTGCCTTGGCCCCGGGAGAGTACCTTTTGCTGTATTCATTCAGGTGTTTAAATCTTGTCTTTGCTGCTTGCATGTCATTCCGTGATTCTCCTAGAGGGATTCTGTACTCTTCTCTGTGCACTCGGCCTTAGGTTCACCTGCCTTATGTGGAAATTAGTGTGACTCAGACTACTAAGCATTGTGGTTTCAGATGTCTTGCATATAACTACTTCACTAACATAGTCTGTTTTTCCTAAATGTTGCTGAAAAGGGATGTTCTGCAACTTGGGACTTTTCCCACCCTAAAGATTAAATTTGAAGAACTTCAGGAAGAATACAACATTGAGCAATACGCAGTGTACAAACTGCTCTGCTTCAGGCAACAAACTGGCCTGTATACCCAAAACAGTTCCATGAAACAGTGTTCCCTTCCCACAACCAGCTAGTGCCAGACTGATAGCCTTCACAACGGTTGAGAACTGATTTGGAGCCTTCGACACAGGAACTTTTTTGAACCCTAAAGAAAAAATATACAAAAAGCAGTTACTGGTGAACTTGACGCTATTACCCTGTATGGCGTTCTTTTTAATGTTAGAATTTAGAGGTGGACAAATGATTGGAGAATTCAGGAGCCAGTTAGTCCAATCAAGGAATACTTTGAAAGAGCCTTGTTACGTCCACTGACTACGTTTTTAGAACATTTCAGCTTAAAAAAGTTGGATGCCATCTGTATTTTTTAGGCACCTGACCTAATGATCTGACTTTTGGAATTTGTAAGTTCTTAATTTGGGTGGAGAGAAGTGAGGGCCAGCTGAGCATAATAGCATTATCCCTGCAGCCCTAATGTCAGTGTTCATTGTATTGAACGTCCTCTGGCAATTACTTCTTTTTGGTCTTTATTGTCCCCAGTCATTGGAATTTGGATCTGGAACGCATTATTTAATGACATCTCCACCATTTGGATCATGCTGAGAATATATTGTAATATCTAAATAGTTATTTTTCCAGGAAAAACTTCTGCTTTGGTCTCCCTCTGGTCCTAATGCATGGGTCAGTCAAAGGGCCCCAAGGGTCTGACACTTAGCTGGCCAGACCGCAATAGTAAAAAGGTTTTAGACCAAGTCTTGACCAGTGTATGGCCAAGTATAGAGCCTGCTATTTACTAGCTCTTCTTGAACACTCCCACCCCTCCTTTGGTTGAGACCAGGATGGGTACCTTTTGGTAAGATCGTGTGACCGATGCCTCCACATTTGGTCCCACAATCTTGGGATAATACAGGCCCACATTCACTTTAGAGCCCGCAATACCCAAACGTAGGAGAACAGGTGTAGCGGTAAAGAGAGACAGTTGCCAAAGGAAGCTTGAGCCTGGTTGCACTCAGTATAACATTTCAACACTGCAGTCTTGTGGATAACCATCCCAAATTTTGCACTAATTACATTGATAACTGCATATATGTTTAGTTATTATACGGTTTATTAATGGTTTCCACATGCTCAATGCTTATATACAGGCTGATTTAATAAGTCAAAGAGCAGAATGCTATAACCTATAGCAACCAGACAAAACAAACCTGATTTGACTATAACACATTGAGATCCAGTCGGTTGTTTCAGGGTCCTCTCCTGTGCATCATCATCGCTCTTTGCATTGACTTATTAAATATGCTAAACATTGAATACCACTGTTCCTGCGATAGTGCCGCAATAATCTTCCCCAACGTAAGCCTTTTTTTTTTTTAGTTTACGTTTCAAAGAGCAACGTCACCCCACACTGATATTCGCCATTTTGGTTGTG